TCGTAAATATCAAACATGTTTGATATTTACGATTTGAGTTCGGCGACGCTCCGTCTTGATCGGGAGCAGTTAAATAATCGCAATGACACCACACAATAGAGGATTTTTTGGACAAAAAATCGCTTGCGACAAGCCGCGAATCGGGCCACACTCCCCGATCGTTCGGGGGTGCAAATCGGGCTTAAAATCGGCCTTAAAATCCTCTAGTGTGCGGCCAGCCTTACATGAGATACAGATTTCTGAGTATTTGATGCATAATGTGTCTACAAAGGGGTCTCCCTTCATGTTGGCTGCCATATTGAGCTTAATATTACTCACTTTATCTCAGCAACCCTGCTATTGTCAGATACTTTTGGTTGCGAATTGCACTGCAGATCTACAATGCATTTTGCAACCAAAAATATCTGACAACAGTTCTGCAAATATTTCTATAAAGGTATCGAAAACTAAACGGGTTAACAAGGTGAGGAGGCAGACTTTGAGACCAAAGAATCATGACCATGAAAAATATGACCGTGCACATATGTGTGTGTCTGTCTGAGAGGGGAAGGTAAGTAATGAGATCGTAATGTTCACTTCAGGAGAATCTAGACTATATGATGGGTCACATGTTGCGTCAATACTGATCCTATCTCCACCTGTCTCCATGACGGCAATGCCTAGGCAAAGACCTCGAAGTATGTAACTCTGGAATCTAGTGGGATTGCCTCACAGATATTGAGACTGTAACACACCATCACAACCTGAGAGAGGAAGCTAATGACCTGACATAGTATCTTTAATTATCACCCCACAGGCCAGCAAGCCCTGGCAGTAACCTGATACTACCACATGCGGCCAGTCATGACTTATGCTAAGATTCTTATGGCTTTATGCATAAATCCAACTGTCAATACTGTCCTACAAAGATAAAATACAGTAGCTGCACATTTTATGTTTGAGTTATGACTGAAATTGGTTCACTTAGTTTATGATCTGCCCTCTGACAGAAGAATTTGGTGCAACTATGCTTAAATTCAGAGAAAACCATTATAAAAAACAAAATTCAATCAAAACTTTGAACAAGCATTTTGTGTTGATTTTCTAAACATGCCCTAAATGGTTGATTCTGATACTTTTTTTGCAGTGTCCCTTATGCTGTCCAGTTTTTGAACACAAACAGTTCATTAGAATACTTAAATCAAATCATTTTATCCTTTTGAAGGAAGAACCCTTAAAAGGCCCCCTAAAACTTACCTTCTCTTTGGCTACTTTATGTGAGAAAGGACAAGTCCCATCTGTCTGCTTACATGTGCCTCGGAGAAACCTGCCAACCAATCACGATTTAAATTTGAAGACGGCTTACAAAGTGTTAGATGTTTTGTATAATGTAAGAGTGTGCACAGACGCTCAGTACCTGGTGCAGACGGCCACTTTGTCAGGGTCATGGATGTAGGGGCAAGAGTCACCATGGTTGCACTTGCCAAATCGGTTATAGTACATGCAGTACTGCTTGGCCTTCTGTTTCTTCTGTCTGGCCTGTCGTATTATAGCTAAACTCTTCTGCACAGCACGACTGATATGCATAGGAAACAAAATAAATCACAAAACCAGTAAACAAATTGACGGTCATATGTTATGTATTGTTATGCTGTTAAATTAACCATCTATTACAATACTAACTTGGCTACGTAACGTGTGGCTGATGTTCTTCCCTGATTACCAGTCGAGGAAACATATGGATTGTACCATTCTCCTGTAGTATGAAAAGAAAAAGAAAATTATAGAAGATCATGGATTACGCACCATTTTATGAACGTGCATGACTTTCTTCCATGAAACATAAAAGGAGGTTTATAGTGAATAACAACGTAAATTTCCATGTTTGCCACACAAAACGTATATTTTTCCAAGTCTGATGGATTTTTGCATGATGGTTTTGTATTACCTGTATAGTGCTTTTATGGCATTTTTGGTACTTGATAGTCACTGGTCACTTAATGCTTTCAATGTATGAATAAAAAGAGCATCATGAACATTCAACTAAATATCTATTTTTGTTTTTTTATGGAAAAAAATTAATTATTTGGTTTTGTGTTTGGTTTGGATTGAACTGAAGGTGAAGAAATAATGACCTAATTATCATTGTTGGATGAACTATTCCTTTAAAAACATCAGCTTAACCAAAATCAGCTTTAGCAAAAGCAAAGTATTATTTCTTTGTGAATATAATGTAGATATTATAGCTTGAAGTGAGCTGTAGGCCAGTGCTTGTTTGTTCCTCCTGTCTCATCCAAGCTTGTGCACAAGCAGATGTATTTATAACAAGCCAGACTAATAGCATGTAATTAAAGGTCATCACATTCATTGGTAGTGACGGAGGCCAGCAAGTACAACTAAGACAAGATACCATGCTGTTTATTTATATGTCAGGGTCCATCAGCTATAAACACTGTACTCTATGCAGCACTGAGTGATAGAGCAATGAGGCCAAAGCACAAGGAATTTAGGATCCAAGTGCATGTGAGAAATGGCTCGCTGGTTATGTGGGATTCAATTGTGAAGTCTATGTGAAAAAGTGAATGAGAGATTGAGTCTGTGTATATTAACTGTACCAGACTTGTGTGTGGTGAGACCACAGTTTGTTGGGGAGATCATAAATAGATGAAATGTGTGTTTGTGTGGAACTCCCATCACAGAGCAAGAGCTGATCTTTAATTCCACTTCTGACTAGGGCTTTAGGGTTTAATCTAGGCCATTCACCATCTCTCTCGTTCTCTCTGTGTCTCTCTCTCAACCTGTAGCCAGTGACAGATGACAGCTTTATTATTTCAGAAAGCGACCTTTCAAAAAGATCTGGTATCGGTGATTGTATCGGCAGATACTGCTTCCTGTGATCAGTGATCGGCTCCAAAAATCCTGAACAAAGCACCCTATATATATATATCTTTAATTCCACTTCTGACTAGGGCTTTAGGGTTTAATCTAGGCCATTCACCATCTCTCTCGTTCTCTCTGTGTCTCTCTCTCAACCTGTAGCCAGTGACAGATGACAGCTTTATTATTTCAGAAAGCGACCTGTAGCCCCCTTTCTCTTTCTTGCTGGATGGGTTGATAATCTGGACTGTGTACTTATAGACAACCGATATATACTGACCCTTGAAAACCTACAAAACTAAACACCACCATATTTATGTAAACAAAAAAGTGGGCAACACACATTTCAAATTTCATTTTAGTTCTTAGAATACTTGCAAACTGGTCAGGCAATTATCTCTGCAAAATGGTTACCTGGTCTACTGTTAGGTGTGCAGGTGGTTTGAGTGCGAGAGAGCTTATTGGCTGAGACTCTGTATAGTGCTCCGCCTATCCATCTCATGCTTCGCCCCCTCCAGTCCCTTTCTGAAGTTGTCCTTAGTCGATTCTGCAGGAGGATTCTGAATGAAAAAAATGGCAAAGAGACAAAAACAAATTAGAGTAACATTTAAACACCAATTATAATCCTAATTTTAACCAATCA